TTAAGAAAACCTTTTGGGGGAGTTACCCAAACTGTAGTGGCTCTGGTTTTTCTAACCGAAGTGTGTGCAACTATGTCCCAATTCCTCCAGATGTCATCAAATGAAAAAGAGCTGAAAGAAGCCAAAGATTTCAGCCAATGGATAGTTTTGGTTAAGATACATTCATTCACTTCTATAAAGGACCTCTCTTTATCTTGAAAATTTCTAACATTTCTTCTACCCAAATTGTCCACAAGGTGGCTACTTTGAAACATCTCCACATACTCCTCCCTCTTTTTGTTAGGCAAGCAAAGGTAGTTGGTGAGAATAATGATTTTACCTTTACTAGTTGATTCCACCTACATCCAAACAAAACAAGCATCCAATCCCAAAGAGCTACAGCAAAGGAACAAGAAACCAGTAAGTAGTAATAGTTCTCACTATGAGAATTGCACAGTACACACCAGTTTGGGGACGAACAAATAAAAGGCTTTTTCTTTTGTAAGTTCTCTAAAGTATTAATCTTGCCATGATACACTTCCCAACAGAAAATAGCAATTTTGGGGGGCACAAGCTTTGTCCAAACTTCTTTCATTGGGAAAGGCTCAAAAGAAGTACTCAAGAAAAGGGATTTGAATAGAGATGCACAAGTGAAAGAACCTTTTGGGATAGGAGTCCACACCCTTTTATCAAGAGAAGAGGGGTCCAACAAACACTCTCTAGATTGGATAAAAGTTCTGTAACACAAGCAAGTTCCTCCCCCCTTAAGCCCCTATGAAAACCAAAGTCCCAGCTCAAAGATAAAGGTAAAACTAGAGGGGGAAGAAAGACAGAGATAGCCTCATTTTTATAAAGGTAAAGGGCATATAGAGAAGGAAATAGGTCTTTTAGAGGTTGATTACCCACCCAAGTGTCTTCCCAAAAAAGAACCAAAATTCAGGAGCAAGTATCATACCTTAAAAATTGAAGGAACTTGGGGAGGACGCCATGTATTGCCTTCCACGATGTTGTTTGGATAGCCCGATGAGATATCCTAGCATCCTAACCAGAGACAGAACAACCGTGAATACTAAGTACAACCCTGTATTACAAACTTTCTCTTTCCAAAGGCCATCTTCATAGCCACTTTCCGAATAAAACTTCATTTTTAGGGCCAAATTTCCTAATCCCAGACCCCCTGACTCTTTACTCCAACAAACTATCCCAATTAACTAAATGATCATTTTTCTCCTCCCTTGGTTCCCAAAGAAAATCCCTCATCAATTTTTCTAAATTTCTAGCCTCCCTACAAGAGATCCTAAATACAGAGAGATAATAGACTGGTAAATTGGCAAGTGTAGCCTTAATCAAAGTTACCCTTCCATAGTGATATAATTCTTTTTCCAAGCTGCCAACTTTCTTTCAAATTTCTCAATAACTAGGTACCAAAATTTGCTTTCCCTAGGATTTCCAACCAAAAATAGGTTTGGTCGCCCCTTTCATTAGCTTATATACTTACAATAAAAGTTGAATACAAAGACAAGTATGCCCTTAAAATGTTGGCTACTTGTAAAACTAAGTAAACACTCTTAACTTAAACATAAACTAATGGGCCTTGGGCCCAATAACTCTCTAACTATGCTATGTAATAAAAAAAATGATATCAGCCCAAAACTCAATAGTATCTATGGATGTTACCTTCTTTGAAGATGTTGTCTATTATCCTAGAGTTTCATCTCAGGGGGAGAGTGTGAGTAGGGCATTTTTGCTCAGGAAGGTCTTTTGCCTATTCCTGTAAATGAAGGGGAGTGTAATAAGGGGAATTGTCAAAAGTGTAGAGAACTGAAGTTGTTTCACAGATGATGGTGAAGGCATGTCAATTCCAATAATGGGAAGTCCAAGCTAGTTCCAATCTCCTTTATGGCACCAGATTCAAGTATTACCTCTCCTTTACCCATTCTTACTACAGATGACATACCCACTACCTCTACTGAGCCTCAACCTCCCTCAGATGATCTCAACCTCCCTAGTGCATTACGCAAGGGAAAGTGTCATTGTACTTCATTTAATGCCCATTGTATCTCCCATTTCCTTTCTTATGACCACCTTTCATCATCATATAAGTCATTTTTGGCTTTCATTGTTGCAATGCACCTTAGTGGAAAGAAGCAATGAAAGTTGAAATAGATGTCCTTGTGAAAAGTAATATTTGGGAACTGGTGGATCAGCCAAGAGGGGAGAAACCTATTGGGTGTAAATGAATATTCAAAGTATAATGCCAATGGTACAACTAAAAGATATAAGGCCAAATTGGTTGCTAAGAGATACACACAAACTTATAGTATTGACTATTTGGAAACCTTTGCACTAATTGCTAAAATGAACACCACCAAGGTTTTGTTGTCTCTTGTTGCTAACTTCTCATGAACATTGTTTTATATGGATGTTAAGAATGTTTTTCTAAACGATAACTTACAGGAGGAAGTGTATATGGAGTTACCTCTTGGTTTTTATGATGTAAATGTTGGTAAGAAAGTCTGTAAATTGAAGAAAGCTTTGTATGGTCTGAAACAATATCCATCCGCATGGTTTGATAGATTCAAATTTGCTTTAGAAAGATTTGGCTATGTTCAAGCCTAGTCTGATCATACTCCTTTTATTAAGAAGTAAAGCTCTACTTTGACTCTCCTAGTTGTGTATGTTAATGACATTGTTGTGACAGGGAGTGATTTTGATGAAATTAATAATCTTAAATAGTTGCTTAATCAAGAGTTTGAAGTAAATGATCTGGGTGTAAGGGTGCTCACGGTTCGGTTAACCGAATCGTGGGGTTATTTTTTAAACCGAACCGACCTAATCGGTTTTTTGAGTATTCGAACCAAAACCGAACTGATGCAACCGGTTAACTGCAGTTTGGTTTTTCAGTTTTTTATGCACTCAAAATAAAAAAAAAGGGGAAAGGTCGTCAATCGATTTGGGATTTTTTTCCCATTGGGGAAGAAGAAGAGAGATGAGTGAGAGAACTAAGAGATGAGAAACTAAGAACTCGGATGCCGTCGGTCAGAGCCCAGAGGTTATCTGTCAGAGACTCGAAGGCCATCGGTCAGTTTGGGGAAGAGGAAGACTAGAGAGATAAGAGATTGAGAACTGGGAGTGAGAGAGAAAGGGAAAGGTGTTTAGGTTAATTTGATTCTAAGAGAGGAAGATTAGAATTTAGAAAAGGGTATTCGATTTTAAAAAATATAAAAATATAATATTATATAATATATATTAGTATACATATACCGGCCGGTTTGGTTAACCGCCAGTTTTTTTAAAGGTTAACCGAAACCGAACTGACCGATTCAGTTAACCAAGTTTTCGGTTCAATTTCGGTCGGTTCGGTTTTTCAGTTTTTTTTGCTCACCCCTATTTGGGTGTAGATGAAGTGTTATAGCTGATATCACTTCTTGAAGAATTAGGAATTGGGTATGAAAGACCCTTGATGTTGTATTGTGATAATAAGGCAACCATTAACATTGCTCATAACCCAATACAACATGATAGAACAAAATATATTGAAGTGGACCAACATTTTGAAGAATTGAGCAGATACAAAGATGGACGATGGGCGCACCAAACCTGCATACAGAGAGGAAAAGAACAGCTACACAATATAGGATCCAAGACACTATCTCTCAAACAAAATGCAAGAGGGAACTGTCAAATCTGGATAGGGCCAAAATTTGAAGGTTGCTTGACCTTCCAAGTTAACTTTATTTGCACACTTTGCTATCTTTGTGATAGCCATATATATAGGTCTTTCCCCAATGTTCCCTTGTTTTGAGGAGGGAACTCAACCAACTTGAACGTTTGGAGGGAAGACCAAGTTAAGGCCTCTCTAGATTGAGACAAATGTCTCATACTGACCAAGGATCTAACCACATGGTCATCCAGTCTAGACTAGGTCAAATGGATATCCATTACCCCAATAAGACCTGGAACTTGAATCTAGAATAATCCAACAATATTGGTATCTCCATGCATAAAAACATTTTCAAATAACCAATCAAATAAATTTATTTTTATACAAAATAAATAAATAGGTAATAATTTAAAAATGAATGATTGTGTGTGAGTGTTTTATAGAGATAACCATAATCATCTTCCATCAACATGTGGCTTGTCACATGGCCATTGGATATTCCAACATGTTGAGGATGAAACGAGGGCCTATGGCCACTCTACCATCACATTTCATCCGAAAGAGAATTCTCTCAAGAAATGTCTTATGTACCCTCTAATATGCAGCTTGCTAATCTCTTCACCAAGGTAGTCACCAAAGTCAAGCTTGAGACATTTATGCAAATTGGGAATGACAAATATCTTTTCCCAACTTGGGAGAGACTGCAGCGAAAAGGGTTGATCAGTTTGTGGTCCCACATCTTTATTATTTTGTGATGTTATATTGCTACTATGTTGTTAGCATTTGCCTTACTATTGTTATTGGCTTTTGTACACTTTACCTGTGGTAGCATATCATAATAGATTTTCTGCACCCCTTTCTTCTATTCTTTATTTTCTGCTCTCTTCTTTTCTTCTCTTCCACTTTTGTTCTTTTCTTTTTTCTTCTTTGGTTTCTTCTTTGCTAAAACATGTCTAGACCTCATCAGTTACAAACAACCAACACACTCACATGGAACAGTGTTGTCAGGTTTTGACTCATTTACAGATTGGATGACCAATCATCTAATTCATTGAAAATTGTGCATGCCCAATGAGCCAAGAATGGAGTCCGGATCTGCTCCTCAGAGCGCTCCTCACACCAACCTCACAGCATGTACCAACTGCACGTCAGGAACATCTCCCATACTTGCATGTTATTTTTCATGAGATGTTCCTAATACATAGTGGGACGTGGCTGAGAGGAGCGCTATATGAACAGCAGATAAAATGGTCAGTGAAAGCACAACTGGCCAAGCGAGTTCTTAATTTAGAAGTTGACTTAGATAAATGTGGAAGGTAACTTTGTACCATGGGAAGCCAAAGTTAAAAATTTGATGAGCCATCATAATTCACAAAGAATATACATTTACATAACATAAAAATTCTTTTTACAACTAATTTTTGAAGAAAAAATAAATAAATTTTGCCAGATGTCTTTAGAGAAGCAGTTTTTGCCATTTTCCAGACATCCCCAGGTTAAAGACAGAATTTCAACAATCTGTACTGCTTGAACTGGGAGATATCCATTAATGAAGGATTAAGGATATACATGACCTTAATGCATAACAGCAAAACTAGATGAGTATGGAAAACAAAGACAAATCTAGCAACAGATCTTCAGATAACCATCTTCTGTTCCAACAAGAAAGAGTCGTGAGAAGGGAAGAATAGATATACTAGACAGGAAAGACAAGCTTCTCATCCCACGATCTGCCGTGTACAGTTTCTGGGGTGAAATATGCTGCTGTCCATCCTGCCAATATGACCAAAATGCAATTACATTTGACATGTCTACAAGCATAACACAGTCAAGAGGGAACCAAGAGAGAATGAACAAATATGATACACACATAAATACACAAACACACACAGAAGGAAATGCAAAATTGCAAAATTATTGGAACAGAAGGAACATTAGCATTCCAGTGGGATAAATCATCAGAAGCTGCACTCCCCTTGTGAGCCTTACAAATATCCAGACCCATAGACATGCAACATACACACAGAAGAATTCCCTCCCCCTTGATGCAAGTATTGCTTGCAAGAATAATTCATAGAAAGGCAATTCGCCTTGACTTACTTCATTTCCATATCTGGATAATGAGGAAAGGCCAATCTTGTTTCTGGAAATTGAAATTACATCTTGACCCCAGACGGAGAAGTCAGATATACCATCTGAATGGCCTCTGAAAACATTTGAATTTGACAACCAGTTCCTGCAATACAGTGAACATAAATAGCATGTTTAGAACCATTAGCAGATGGAAGGATAATGACTTGTTTAGAATTATTAAAAGAGAAATGTTTCACTTTTCTCATTCTCAGCTCTAGTACTAGCAATTATTATTTTATTATCCAATGAAGAATATTCAATAACATTACTAAAACAAAAGCTAATATGTAACAAGAGTCATTAACTGTCTTCTAAAAACCAAGGGCTCATAAGTGTAGGATGCCTTCCAGAAATGTTCTCAGTTTATATGATTTTTGTTACAAGATATTAGTATCTCGGACTAAGTGAAACATAAATAAAAAATTCAGTGTATACAAATAATAACTCTAAGATAGTGTTTCGATGTCTGAAAAATAGCCAACCTACGTCTGAAACTAATCAGATAAGTGGTTATCCCCTTTTAGTCTGTTTGGTTACACTTCCAAGTGGCCCACTTATATGAGATCAAATCAGCCCCCCACAAGATTGCCCCCCACAACATCCCACAGAACATTCCCGCCGTGTATTGAGAACATCTCCCGATGATGACATCATCATTTCTGGTATTATCACCGGGAGATGTTCTCAATACACGGTGGGGATGTGTCGTGGGACGTTGTGGGGGCAATCTTGTGGGGGGCTGATTTGAACTCCACTTATATCTGACACTTCGTTCGGATTAGCAAGCAATTGAATCACAACTTATCACTTATTAATTGGCCATATCAAAGTTGTCAGACTTGACCAAAAGAAAGCCAGTAAGCTCACTGGATCACAGTTTCACCATTTAACTGGACTGTTGGACCATTCAGCCCATAAGAATCATCAAATAACCAGGACCCAGAAGCTCACTGGTTCAACCATCCAGTCTGGTCTGAACTTGACAACACTGTTCCATGTGAGTGTTTTTCTTACTTTTAACCTTTTTAAAACTTTCATGATGATGATAATGCCCCTCGTACCCATGTTCAAAGAGCATAAATTACAATAACCACTCTGATTAATAACTTCAATATGATGGTCTAATGAGACTTCAAATGCAAACTGCTTTGACATAAAAATTAGCTCTTATTCAATAAGATCTAATCAGACTTCAGAGACATCACACTTCAGACTTAAGACTTACAAACACCACCTAAGTACTACCATTCTTGTGCAAAGAACATTCTAAACTAAGGGTCCGTTTGGTTCGCGTCCAGGACTGGAATCAGAATCACCTATTCCTGATGCCTGTTTGGTTCAGTCGGGAATCGGAATCGAAATCGGATTCTGATTGTTATTATTAGGTTCAACTAGAAGCCAGAACCGGGATCATTCAAAAGAAGAAGAAAGAAGAGAGGGGAGGAAGAAGCTGCTGCTACTAATACCGCTGGCAGCGATAGAGGGGAGGAGGAAGAGGGAGAGAAAGAAGAGGGAACGGAAGACGAGGGAAAAAAAAGGAGAGGGGAGGAAGAAGCTGCCACTGCTAATACTGTTGGCGGTATTTGCAGTGATGGCGGCGACAAAGGGGAGAAGGAAGAGGGAGAGAAAGAAGAAGGGGTGGAAGAAGAGAGAAGAGGGGAAAAAGAAGAGGAAGAAAAGGAAGAAGAGAGGAGATACAGGGGAAGGAAATCCAGCCGGCAACTGGTCTTACCCCACCGAGATGGTGGTTGGCGCCAGCCAGCATCGGATAGAGGAAGGCCTGTGAAACCTTCAGGCCTTTGGTCAAATAGGAAATGGGGGCTTTTTTGTCAAAAAAAAATAGAGAGGGGGAATGGGAATCGCATTCCTGTGGAGGGGGGTCTTCATGTTCAAGAAGCTTGTTCTTCAAGACATCAAGCATCAATCAAGTAGATACTACAACCTAATATTGTCCTATATCTTTTAGATTAATCACTCAAGATTGGAAATGCAGTTATCACATTACCTGGACAAGAATCCAATATGTTGGTTTGACTCGACGGTTTTGAATTCCATAATTGAATATTTAAGCATGCCACAAAAATAAAACAGTAAAAAGCATCTATGAACTCGGATTACCTTCTGAGGTCCCAAACTCGCAAAGTCTTATCAAGAGAGCTGGAAATAAGCAAATGATCCTCTGGTGCAGCCAACTGCACATATGAAAGGGGTGATGAAACTTTCCTACAACTTAGAATATGGATTTTCTTTAACAAATTATACTTACCTTTGTGATATACGCATCATGAGCCCTCCAAAAAGCAATAACACTTCCACTCCTTGCATCAAGCAGCCTGCAATGACCAGAACTTAATCCAGCTGCAATCCAGGATGAAGAAGTTGTTGTGTTTGATTGCATGTTGTCAGAACCACATGAGCACAAAGCAGAGATAAGAGAAGAGAAAGAGGATTCCAGTAATTCACTTTTCCACAAGTGAAGTTGCTGATCTTGAGCAACATCAATGAATCTACACAAAGAAATTACAGCTTGAAGATTTGTGCTACATAGTGAATATCTTTGACTTCAATTATAAATGCAACACTTGCTCCAATAAAAACCAGTTACCTCAAAGAACCATTTCCCATGCCAGCTACAAGTTTATCAAAAGAATCCAAGTAATGCATACAGGTGTACAAGCACCCACCAAATGCACTTGTCAATATTCCACCAGATAACACATTGGAATTAAGTATGTTGGCCTGGTCTGAGTTCATTCTTGATACAGAGGATCCAGAACTCATAAGATGTGAGGAATTTTCTGATGGTTCAGCATATGCTGATATCAGCTTTCCAGTTTTGCTATTCCATACATGTATTGTTCCATCGCAAGAAGCCACCCTTCCAGTAGAAGACAAGATGCAAATGCCGTTCACCACCTGAAAGTCACACCACCAACAACAAATGAATAGCATAAGTACAGGCAACTTATCAAACACAAAACCAGAAAGACAAGCAAAACTCCATGCATAAACATATAGTTTAATGCTTTATGACCCAAGCATAACATGGCCTCTGAGCACACAGAAATTGAGAAATGGTCCAAACAAGACATAATGATGCAAATAAAAAATGTCTGACAATGAAGTTAGCAAAAATTTCTTTGCACTTGACTGTCAGAGTGGAAGTCCACTTTGAGCCCATCAGAGCTTAACTTTGATGGGTGTTCTCTAAGTAACCAACCTTCAGGCTATATGCAATTACTTGGTTTAGAGTTAAGGTTGGAAGGAGACTCCATACTCCTGGCTGACTCTGCAATAGGGCAGAAGGTCCATAGTGTCAGACATTTTATTGAGGAAAAGCCTTGTTTCAGATTAAATAATGCTATCATGCCCAGACAATAGAGAAACCAGCAGGAAAACAGGAGAAATAAGAGCGATAAGAAAAGATAAGAAGAGAAAGGAGAGAAAGATGAGGAAGAACCAAAGGCTGATTTGGACTGATTGATTTCTCCTGTCCAAGTCAGATGATATTTTATAGATTACTCAAAAGAGATCACAATGACCAGCATGCCCCTGGTTAAGTATGGGGCACTTACCAAAGACAGGACATAAAGGTCTAATTACATAACATTAAATCATAATGTAAAGGCTGAAATACCCCCCAAAAAGTCATCCGCTAACAAATAACTTGTTGAATGGACTCCAAGGTCTGCTTATTTTAGGGATACAGTCTAGAAGTCTAGACAGAGGACCAATATATGTGTGCTCTTGAGTTGCTCTGTTTTATTTATTCACCATTCATTTTAGATCTTGGCTTATCACTTCAGAACAGGATCCAACATTTCTGGGTAACCCCTTGGAGTCAATGCTGTTTGATATTGTTCCACTCTACATTCCAGCTTTCAGGTTCTAAGTAGTGTACATATCCTTTGAACAGGAAAGGTCCATGTATGCAGCATTTTGTTAAAGATCTTAAAAATAATATCATAACTCTTAGAGTTTGAAAGAAAACAATACCCAACCATTACTTCACTAACAGGTAGGAATACTCACTAGAAGCCTACTTAATGACATCAAACAGATCGATTTTCAAAGACAAGATGGTAATGAATGGAATTATCCTCAGAAAATATGAGAGGTCATAATCTCTGCTTCATTGGAATTCATCTCTGTAATATGACTTGAATGAGAAAAAGAACCTTTAGAAGAAAAACAGCCTTTTGAGAAGAAAAAACTGTCTAGAAAGTTGCAAAAATTCAAAAGAAAGTAGTAGAAATCAGAGTTCAATAGGAGAGAAGAAGAAGAAGGTGGCGGCAACTTGGGTTCAGAGAGAGAGATTTTCGAACATAATCTCTTCTCTTACTCCCTTAATTCTATTTCATTAAGTTAAACTTTAGTAATTTACAAAAAAGCTCCTAGTTGGGCAGAAAATTAAAAAGAAATAACATAAGAAAGAATAAAGCCCATATTAAGGCCCATTACAACAAAGAACATAAAAGATAAAAAAGGATAAACAGCCTATGGGCCATTCGGCCCATCTTCTCTACACTCCCCCTCAAACTGAGCATAGATGTCAATCATGCCAAGCTTGCCAGTATCATGCTGAAGTTTAGCCTTGGGAATGCCCTTGGTGAGGAAATCAGCTAATTGTCCTTCAGAGGTGATGAAAGGTAGACACACTTCTCTAGAAGCCACTCTTTCCTGAATGAAGTGTCTGTCAACTTCAATATGCTTAGTTCTGTCATGTTGCACTGGGTTGTGAGCAATGTTGATGGTGGCTTGATTATCACAATATAACATCATTGGCTTATCATGCTCAATACCCAGTTGCTCCATCAAGGATCTAAGCCACAATAGTTCAGAAACTCCATGAGTCATGGCTCTGTATTCTACTTCGGCTGAAGATCGAGCAACAACTAATTGTTTCTTGCTTCTCCAAGAAACAATATTACCTGCCACCAAGTTACAGTACCCAGAGGTAGATCTTTTGTCATCAATGTTTCCAGCCCAGTCAGCATCTGTGTAGGCTTCAAGTTTCATATAGCCATGCTTAGCAAATAGAATTCCCTTTCCAAGGGAGCCCTTCAAATAACACAGAATCCGCTCTGCTGCTGCCATGTGAGTATCCCTGGGAGCATGCATGAACTGACTGATGCAACTGACAGCATATGCAATGTCTGGCCAAGTCATGCATAGATAAAGAAGTTTTCCAAGTAGTGTCTGGAAGACTCCCTTATCTTCTAACAATATTCCATCTGAAGCAGAGAGTTTATGGCTCATATCGATAGGAGTAGCAACTGGTCTAGCACCCATCTTCCTTGTTTCAGAGAGCAAATTAAGAACATACTTTCTCTGAGAGATAAGGATCCCATCCTTGGATCTAGCAACTTCTATGCCAAGAAAGTATCTCAATTCCCCCAGATCTTTAATCTCAAACTCTGTATGAAGGAAAAATTTGAGATCATTAATCCATGAGACATCATTACCAATCACAACAATATCATCAACATACACAATCAGGTAAACGGCCAAGGATCCTCTCCTCTTCACAAAGGGAGTACGATCAGACTGTGTCTGTACATAGCCAAAGCTAACAAGGGCAGCCCTAAACCTTTCAAACAATGCTCTAGGGGACTGTTTGAGTCCATAAAGAGATTTCTTCAGCCTACAGACCTTTCCTTTTATATTTGTTTCATACATCCCTGGAGGAAGAGACATATAGACCTCCTCATGTAATTCTCCATTCAGAAATGCATTATTTAATCAATCCCATATGTCTGTGTATAGCCTTTTGCAACCAGCCTAGCCTTGTACCTTTCAATGGTGCCATCAGCATGATATTTGATAGTAAAAACCCACTTACAGCCCACTGGATCCTTCCCTTCAGGCAAATCAACCACTTCCCAAGTGCCATTCTTGTGCAGGGCATCAATTTCTATTCTCATAACATCCCTCTATTCTAGAATATTAAGAGCTTCTAACACAGACCTGGGAATTGGGTTAGAAGCAACAGAAGAAAGGTAGGCAAAATATGAAGGATAGAGCAAACTATAAGAAAGGTGTTTGGAAATGCAATGTGCAGTACACTTCATTTTTCCTTTCCTAATAGTAATGGGGATATCAAGGTCTGGGAAGGATGGCTCCAAAGGGGTTGTAACAGTACCTATTGTCTCATCTGTAACTGGAAGTGCATGAGGCTCATGTGTTGTAGGGGAAACAATCTGCTCATTTCTGGTTCTCTGCCTTTGGTACAACCTGGGATTAAAAAGAGGGCGAGGAGGTAAAGGAGGAGGAATAGGAACACTGGAATGAGAGTGAAGTGACTAATCCTCCCTTGACTCATTTGAATGAGGAAGAGACTCAGCAAAAGACTCAACTGGGACAGGAAGAGGAAGAGCAAACACCTATGACAAATCCTCCCCCTTTGGACAATGTCTCTCCAGAGAAGAACCATAAAAGGAAGAAAGCTCATCAAAGGTGATATCCATTGAGACATACCGAGTGCCAGTCTTCGGATCAAAACAACAGTAACCCTTCTATGTGGGGGAATAACCAAGAAAGATACACTTATGGGCTTTTGGTTCAAATTTATGTCTCTGGACACTTGGTATATGTACATAACAAGTGCAGCCAAAGACACGAAGAGGAATAAGAAAAAGATCCGTGTCCGGATGAAGAAGACTGAAGGGAAACTTAAACCCTAAAACCCTGAATGGCATACGGTTTATAAGGTAAGTAGCAGTGAGAACAACATCACCCCAAAATTTTGTAGGGACATGTGAGGCAAATAGAATACTTCTTGCAACTTCAACAATATGTCTATTTTTTCCTTCAGCAACTCCATTCTGTTCTGGGGTCCTAACACAGAAGCTTTGATGAATAACCCCTAAATCAGTGAGATAGCAGGTCAGATTTTTCTCAAAATATTCTTTTGCATTGTCAGATCTGATAATTTTAATTCTGGTATCAAACTGGGTTAAGACAAATTCATGGAATTGCCTCACAAGTCTGGGAACTTCATCACGGGACTTCATCAAAAATATCCAAGTGAACCGAGAAAAGTCATCAATGAACAAGATAAAATATTTGTAGCCACCCATAGAAGGTAAGTGGTAAGGCCCCCACACATCAAAGTGCACAATATTAAAAGAAGAAGATCTTTTATTACTCAGAGGATAATTGTTTCTACAATGTTTTGACAGTTCACAAGACTCACAATGAAGATTGGACAAACTAATTCCCTTAAACAATTCTGGGAATAAATGACTTAATGTAGAAAAAGAAAGATGACCCAAACGAAAATGACATAACATGACTCAACTGATGGACTCTGTAGATGTAGACCCAAAAGCAACTTTTCCACGTTGTTCATGGCATTGTCCAGGAGTATCCAGCAGATATATTCCATTCGCCTCACGACCACTCCCAATCACCTTCTGAGACTCCAGATCCTGAAAAACACAATAGGAAGGGAAGAAGGTTACACAACAGTTTAATGACTTAGTTAGGCTACTTACAGATAACAAATTTGTATTTAGTATGGGTACATGAAGAGCAGAAGGAAGAACCAAGGAGTCTGTAGCCTTGACGGTTCCCTTGCCGAAGATAGGGGCAAGAGAGCCATCGRCTAGGGTGATTTTGTCACGTCCAGGAAGAAAATCATATGAAACAAACAAAGTAGAAAGGTTGGTCATATGATTAGAAGCACCAAAATCAATACTCCAAGGGATCCTACGATTACCTGAAATGGTTGCATGTTTAGCAGAAGCCCGTATACCTGAATGAGCAAATGCAGAAGAGGTTGAATTTCCTGGAGGGTTGGAAGAAGAAGTCACACCCTCTAGGTGATTGATCATCCTCCCAAACTTTTCATATTTTGCCTTCATAGCTGCTAACTGCTCACTAGCCGTCATCTCTTCAGTTTGGTATCTGTCACTATCTGGACCAGTAGCAACATTGGCACTCCCTGCCTTTATATTATCAGACTTTTTCTGAAATCGAAGTGATAGGAGCTCAGGATGCGATTTCCAGCACTTGTCTTTAGTGTGTTTTGGCTTTTTACAGTACTCACAGATAATCTCTTTCTTCCCTGAGCTATTTGGAGTCCCTGCAACCCCCTTGGGTTTCACTCCCATATTAGCAAAGTGATCATTTAGACCAACCCCTTGGACCTGGACAAGTCTTCTGCCTTCTTCACTACTTACCAAGGCATATGCTTGAGACAGTGAAATACTATCCTTGGATAAAATATTTTGCTTTGTAATGTCGTACTCTGGATTTAGCCCTGTCAAGAACTCAAACACCCTGTTTCTCTCAACCAGTTTTCTGTAGGTCTCAACATCATTAGTGGTGTCCCAGGCTACAGCTTCTATCAAATATATTTCTTGCCATAAAGACTTCAGTGTTGAGAAGTATACAACTAATGGTTTTTCCCCCTGTCTTAAATTCTTCACATCACTTCTCAACTTGTAAACCCTGGCCATATTTAATTTTTGGGAATAGGTTTTAGCAACACTATCCCAAATTTCCTTTGTTGAATTCATCCACAAATAGTGCTGACTAATCTGTGGTTGCATTGAGTTCACAAGCCATCCAATAACAGTATAATTTTCTTGCATCCACTTTTCATATGATGGATCATCTTCYGGAGGAGCCTTTTTGCTCYCRGAGATAAAACCCCAYTTGCCTCTACTACAAATATGAATCTTTACTGATTGTGACCAAGCCAGATAATTAGTTCCATCCAGCTTGACTGTGGTCACAGCCAATAGAGAATCTACAGAGGCTCCCGGAACCTGTTCGGATTCAGCAACATGCTTGTTTTCAAAGTCTGAGGAGTTCATCTTCTTAAATACTTCAAAAATGACTTCAAGCAACTTCGAATAACAACAAATGAAAACAAAACAAAAACTGTGTTGTGAGCCAACCTCTATGCAGTCATACCAGTAACTTGCGTCACACCCGGAAGTTGGGAGAAACAGAGAAAACTCAGCCACTCCTTGTAGACTTCACAAAACACCAATCCACTTGATTCGATCTTCAAGAAGAAGAATGAGAAGGCCTTCAGTCACTGAGCGCCCAGGTCAAACTCCCTGTGGGGCCCACAAACAGATTTCTCCAGAAAATTAGGGTTTCGGGCAAACACACTTGAATCTGTCAAGAGGACGACCAATCCCCTTCTCTCCAGAAACCACTAACAACTGGGCTGAAATTGGTTTCTTTAACTATTCATACAATTCAATTCTCCATACACACTATGTATGGGAAAAAAAAGGTGAAAAAAAAGGGAAAAATGAGCCTACTCTGATACCAAGAAGAGAAACAGCCTTTTGAGAAGAAAGGATTGTTTAGAAAGTTGCAAAAATTCAAAAGAAAGTAGAAGAAATCAGAGTTCAAGAGGAGAGAAGAAGAACAATAAGGCAGCGGCAACTTGGGTTCAAAGAGAGATTTTCGAACATAATCTTTTCTCTTACTCCCTTAATTCTATTTCATTAAGTTAAACTTAGTAATTTACAGAGAAGCCCCTAGTTGGGCAGAAAATTAAAAAGACATTACATAAGAAAGAATAAAGCCCAAATTAAAGCACATTACAGCAAAGAACATAAAAGATAAAAAAAGAAAAACAGCCTATGGGCCATTCGGCCCATCTTCTCTACACCTTTGTTATGCTACTCATATCAGATGATACCACCAACCCTATCAAGTAGAAATCTATGGTTACATCATAATGCTTCCACGCAAGGTTCAAAGTATTGATACACCCTGATACGCCAGAAGGGGTTTATCAGTCTTAGGCCTGCCTACCCAATGAAATTGGTCAAAGCTCCAAAACACCATATTTCGCATATCAGTGACCTATCAATACAATACATTTCGGCCAATACGTTGCAAAATTTTGATCCTTGCTTCCTTTTTTCTACAATATTTGACATGAAATTACAGCATTCACAACATGTTTACTATTTCCTGTATGACCACAATTTCAGCCCTCACTTATTGAACCTTGGTCAGACTGTCAGAGAGAGACTCCATAAAGCCCCACCCTAATAAAGGGTCTATCAGATAATATGAAATCAGATATACCTAGATCCTGATTGATCCATTAACATTCAAATTGAATCTTATCCATCAAATTTAGATCATACTTGGACAGGATTCAGATTTTGAACACCCCAAGGCTTTGCTAGTACTTTCCCCTTCTTTCTACCCCCCCCCCCCTCCAAATAAACTGAAAATGACACTTTTAGGTACAACCAGAACATTGGATACTGACATTAGGAACTTTTTTCCTATTTGCATGGATTAGCCTATTAACAAAATAATTGGAAATTATAAAGCGATAAGATTTAACTGAGCCTTCACTCAATTAGTAAAGCATGGTAGGTTTTTTTTGTTGATTTACAGTTGGTCCAGAATCTCCATTTGAATGCCAATTGATTATTCAACCAAGGTTATTCGGTCTCTGAAAGGAAAACATCTTTCATTGTGAACGGTGTCATGAATGCGAATTTTTAGTTCTAGAGGGAAATAAGCTATAATTTCCTATAATTACTTTCAGTAAAGACAACATTTAAAACTCATTTACTGTTTTCACCATCATAAAATTTTTTGAGAAAGAATGAGGAAAGAGAAAAACAAGCTTTCCTGCATCAAAAAATGAACAAACTTTTATGAACCAGATAGCATAAATTTCTCAAATCTATCCAAAATTCAAGTGCAGGAAACAAACCTCATCATGGCCATAGTAACCAGATACACATTCCATTCTTGACAATTCCCACTTCTGAACAGTTCCTTTGAATCCTGGACCAGCACCTCCAGTGAAAACTGTACGCTCATCATCACAGACAACTAATGATCTCAGTGCTCCAGGATGTGAACGGATGGAGTAAATAATAGATGCTCTGATCTTCCATGGAAGTTCATCTTTTATGCCCCCAATGCGACCAAGAAAATCAGGGCCATCCCAACTAGTAGCAGGACTAGGGAACCAAAACCAAGGTTCAGATTGTCCAGGATTTGATTTAGATACTTGAATGGCATCTGAAATTGGATGAGCAACATCAAACTGTTTATTAGACATAAAGTTCTTTGAACTCCTAGATCCTTGTGACTGTGGTATTGACCACCCAACACCATTGAGCAACAGTTTAGCTGGATTGTACTCAGATGCTGAGATCTTGCTGAATAAGGGCCTTTGAGGATTTATATTTTCTGTACCACTTCTAGATGCTTCCCCTGTGAATTCCCACTGAACCACAACAGAAAAATGAAGGGCAAAACATGTCATCCATCTTTATCCACTAATGACTGCAAGCATATACATGGCAGTGTGGAAGAATTAAGCATACCTTCCAGCTATGGGCTCGTTGGAGGAATTGCTCTAGAAGTAACCATGTAGCACAGCACTGACGAAGCTTCTCTATACCAAGAAGAGAAGCAAAGGAAGGATATAGAAGCAACCTGCATAAATCCTAGGGAATTCACATACAACAATATGATAAAAATGATTGTAAATTGCAATTAAATCAATTTGTTCCATGAAAAAAAAAACAGAAAGAAGATGAGATTGAGAAGAAGTAAGACATACACAAGGTCCATGCGGCTTTCTATTTGAATATCTTCATTTAATTTTGACTTGGAGATCTTTAAGCTTCTACCAGAATAACTGGATCCCCTGGTTGTTTCTTGAGAAAAGGCTAGTTCATCAAATAGCTCTTTGAGTTGTGGCAGGATGTGCAAAGCAGCGAATTCTGGTCCAATCCGTCGACAAACAGAGATAAGAGCAGTAGCAGCAACCTATCCAGAAGAGGTCATATTTCATGATTGAAAAACTAATTAGTTGGCATGTGAAGAGAGGAAAAAATGAATCACCTGTATTTTACATTCAATCAATTAGACTAGACAGACAAAGGAGCGGATAATAAAGTCCTGAGTTAAAAGTCAGATAATTACATTTTTCAGTGTTTCCAGCTAAAGCTACCTTATCTTAAATATTTTAAGAAAGTTATCTGGAATGGAAGTGCCATCTTATAGTCAATGGTCCCATTTGCAAGTTATTGGTCTACATGGAAAGAATGAAAGTGGGAATCCTTCAAAGCTCGGAAAGACTTTTAGTGTGCCTTTGTTTGGATGTTAGTAGTTTTTTGATGGATTGGATTCTTGTTTTCAATGAGTTTAGGTGATAAGAAGGTGACGCACCTTTTTCTTTATGTATTCTTACATACAAATTACAGTTATACATTTAATAAAATTTTTTACTACCATAGAAAAATTAAAAAAAAAAAAGAGTTTTTTCTGGAATCAATTGATAAACTAAAACTACGGTGGTATTCTTCAGTTAATTTCTATTGGGATAGTTTCTTAAGTTTTCAAATATATACAAGACCTGTAAAACTAGAACAAGGACATTCACAAAAAGAAGGAAATAACTCAACAAGAGAGATATGTGAAATACCTGTAGCACTGAAAGGTCCAAATGTGTCTGCATAAGAACCTTAACATGAAGACAAGTTTGGTCCTGTAAAATTACAGCATATGCATTATCAATTACTGTACAATAACTTGTACAGTACATGAAAAGGAAAACTGATTCCTTACTTGAATCAGCTCCTTGACGACTGTCTCCTTTGGCAAGATTGCTACAAGACCATCCAATGTCATAAGCCCATCAATAAGGGCTAAAGCATTCCAACTCTGCATAGGTTCTGGCTTATTTACATGTGAAACATCAATACAGGAAAGAACAACATTCTTCAACAATGGTAGAAGCTGCTTGACAATAAAGCTCTCTCCCAAAAGTCCACCTGGAATGTCAAAGAAAAGCTAGGTTACATATTGAATATGCCATTTCAAGCCAGGGAATGATTCCTACATCTCAATGAACTGAAAATACCAATTCTAACCAGGACATCAATTCCACCAGCACAAAGTCCTTTGCCAAAACACTGAAGTAGAGGTAAGATTGTCTGCATTGTGATGAAAGGTCACTAAACAACAATATGTTCATCTGATATGAGAAAAAAAAAAAGAAAAAAGGAAAAAAGCACCAAAACTGCAATTATAAGAATCTCCTATAGATTCTTTCTTTTAAATGGACCATCCCCAGAACCTTTAAGTCCTACAAATCAACCTTTGGGGAACCACAGAACAAAACTGACCTGATGAACTGTAATAGGTATGCCAAGCTCTTCACTAGAACCAATAAGCAGCACAGAGGCAGAAGAAGCTGAAATTTTATGAGGTGAAGCATATAAATTTGAGATGACTAACGGATGTATTGCCCCCAAATATGATTGTTTACCAAGATGTTTCCAAATGTCCTGCACAAATGAGTCTTGGAGGAGAGAAACCTTCAAATGTGTATAATTTGTAGCCTGAAATAAACATTTAGATAAGTAGAAAAGTTAGTATGCAAACATAAAAAATGCAATTTACAGAAATACATACTAGGTTTCTAACCAACCTGCAGAATCTTCTGGATAGAAGGCAGGACCAATGTCTTTATTGCTTGAGGCTTCAAGCATTTCAACAATTCTTTAAGTAGCAAAAAAGCCCAATCAGCTTCAGTATCTGATGAAGGGGTTGCAAGAAGTGATAAGCAATAGGGAGCACACATTTCAGCTGCAAATTTTCCCATGGCTTTCAAAGCTCCTTGTTTTGCCAACTTTGCAGCATATTGAAGACAGGATCCATCTTTTGCTAAAAGATGAAGTGGCGCAAGAAACACATAAGATGACCTGACTGTTTCTGGGAAGTATGGTGATTCTAAAAGACTTTTTGCTGAAGGCCTCCTAATAAAGAAAAAAAAATTAAAAGAAAGAAATTAGACTAGGCATATAAAGGAGTTCAGAAAATTAACAAGACAAGGAAACAAAATATCAGTTATGCATTAGGACCAGAAGCTTTTACCTCCTCCAGTCCCTCTCAATACATGCTTCAACAAGTACTGCAGCTTGAGGAGGAAGTTCCTGCATCAATCCAGGTAAAACACCACTCTCCATGTATGCAGCTAATGAGATTGGATTGAAAAGTGGCCTGTTCAAATAAAGTTCTGCTAGAATACACCCAAAAGAAAATAAATCCTCTGCAACAATTTCAGAATTGGTTCCCATAACAGATGATTTCTGTCTCCAAAGCAATAACTCATGAAATCCCATGGAACCATTATCATCCACCTCAAAATATTCAAGAAGACTACTTAAGTCAATATCAGGTGATTCTACAAAACTATTGGCACTTCTAGGTGTTTCAGATATCACAGTTTCAAAATTCTCACTCGGTGGCTCTTCTGCAAAACTCTCAATAAGATCCCCTTGATGACAATGATAGAGATGACTCAAATGCCAAGCTTGTTCACAAAATGAAGTTGCTGCTTCTAAGTCTTGTAAGCAAGCAGTTTGGGAAAGGAGAGATTGTTCGGAACTGGATTCATTTGCTTGATGCTTGGATGCCACTGGTTCTTTAGAGATATCACATGGATGTGGGGCAACGGCACCCTGGCGGATGGGGTGCGGTAGAGTAAATAGCTGACGACGTCCCATTGACCTTGGTTTTGTGGGGTCAGATGAGGGCAGCATGACATTCTTGGCAGCAATAGCTGCTTGACCTGACATCTTGTAGCCAAAGGTGATATCAATCCAATGATGGATTTGCTGTGAGACCCTATTGCTTTCTAATGCATCTCGATGCAATTTGATGAACTCCTCAGGACTACTAACCCAGGAAGGCACTGCCAGATCACTCATACCTGAATGAAGAGAAGAGAAAATTCGAGGATCAGAATAAAACTCTGGGATGCACTCATCAGGGGTCCACTGATAAAGCCTTTGCATATTTGAAGGATACTCATTAGGCTCATAAACTGAGCGAACAGCCATACGTAATATGCTCAAGGGTAACCTTCTAGCTTTGTAACTGCAGACAGCCAGCTCAGAAAGGCATTCATCTGAAACATGATGAGGGATTTCTGATGTAGAATATGTGAAGTCCAGTTGTTCATCACCTTTTGCCAACCTCCACTTACTCTTGCTTAGATCTCGCCAACCAGCTTCAGAGTTCTCATCAGGTTTCACACTGAAATCTATTACCCATGGCATTACTGGGTGGAACGTGTGATCCCCCCACCTTCTCCCAGCTATTCTATTTAAGACAAGGAGGTATTCATAGTTACTCAATTCACCCTCCCACCACCGCTTGAAATCTGAGAACCAATCTATAGAAGGAGAAAGTTTCAAATCAGCATAAAGACCTTCACAAGGACAACCTTTAATGCAGCAACCTAATCTTGGGGAAGACATAACAGGTGGATTTGTTTCATTTCTTGAGATTAGGTTATCCTTCAAACAAGGCTTATCAGAGATACACAACCAAGACCAACACGAACTGGTCAACATTACATTGGAAGGGCATAAATCACCATGAGAAACCCCTAGGCTGTGAATGTAAGATAAGGCTGAGAGTATTTGATAGATTAAGAACTTAATATGCCACTCAGTCTTTAAAAAATGGGGGCTATAGTGCAAAACATTTTCCAATGTATAAAGACTTTTTGGAAGAAATAAATTAATATAATCAGGTGTTGTTAGCAAGCCCAGGACAGGAGCTATGTTTGGATGCCTCACACAACCTGGAATGCTGTTCTCATCAAATGAAGGCATCCCAACTAAACTAAGAAAATTTACACTATCCTGTCCCGTTGGTTTTCCCTCGATAAGGAGATTAAGCGAGGAAAGTACATGATCTTCCATGGAACCAGATAAGAAGTCGCAAGCAAGGTCTTCGATCATAGAGTAAGTACCCCTACCCACATACGCAACTGGAGTTAATGCAGTAATAGTCCTTAAGCATGAAAACCTGCCAGAGTAGCAAATCTTAGAGCCTTCTGAATCTATTCCATCTAGTTCTGTTCTGCCACAATTCAGAGGACACTTGGATATATTCCTCAGGGAGTCTATAACCTCCTTATCTTGATCCATTTCAGATGACTTCATGTCATTGTTCCCATTATTGTAAGTGTCAACATTTTCCAGACAATACCCATCCCTGCAAACAGGAAAATAATGTGAAGTTATTCCACAACTAGAGTTGTTAAATATAGTTGTCTACAAATGTAAAGAGCAGGTTCATCACATTTTCAGATAAAAAGAAGGTGGTTATACGGACTAAATTTATCCCTTCTGTTAAATTTATTTTTCTTTTTCAAAATTTGAGCAACAACATGTTGAGCTTTTTACTCTAAATTAGATTACATCTCCTACATAATGGTTTGGGGCTTCTTTTTCTCTTTCTTTCTTTCAAAGAAAGCAAAATCTGCAGAGTAGGAAATTGGCTAGCAATGGTAATTTTTTGATGGATTGAGTCCAGAACATGATCAAAATTTTTTAAAAGTAGGTGTGTGTCTAGATTCGCCTGGCTCAGGCATGTTTTGAATTACCAAAAGCACCGAATTAAAATCAGCCAAGCCAATATCAATGTCCCTCTTCCTCCGGAACACAACATGGTATCAAAAACCTTTCTACCTATCTCCCTGCAGGCATTTTTATTCTTGTTCTTCCTCTACCATCCATATTTTCCAGTAGACAATTGTAGGAGTTGTAATATTATTTAGGTTTCATATTCTCTTATATCGGTTTCTTTATTACAACTTGGTGTAACAATTCGACTGCAAATAGGGCATGCAGATCATACCCAATTCTGAACCATTTCCACATTTTACCGCAAAAATATCACCACTTACCAAACATTTCTGTAGTTTGTAAGGTGGATTAGATCTATTTTCAACTTCCAGGATTTTTTTATTCTTCACGCTACTACATGTGAAATATTTATAGACTCTCCAGTGTAGCACATTAAGATCTCAAATTTGTAGGCAAAAAGGGTAAGAAATCTAAAAGATGCCCTTACACATATTTTGCTAAGCACTCGTCCTCCTGTCTCGGCACACAGACCAGTAAAAACTGAGTCGAAAGCTCTCCATCGGAACTCGTCCACTGCATTACAGTTTAAAAGACATTAAACACGGAGTAAAACAATAGTAGAACCAACCAGTATATTAATCAGGAATCATTCAATTTTACAAAACATAATTTGGGGCAAAATCACAGAATTCTGGTGCTGATAAAGAAATTTAAAGCCAAGGGAGCGGCGTGTTCGATACTTGGATTGGATCCAAAGCGAATTGAAAGAAGGGGAAAAGAAAGGGAACGAAGTCCTGAAATAAAATGATAATAATAATAAAGGAAGAGAATCGAAAAAGAGACTGCAAATTTTGTACTTGAACAACGGCCCTAGAGCCGAAGGGGAGAGCTGAATCGGAAATCCCATAGCAAAAGACCAATTTGTCTGAGAAGTCAGACTGGATTCGACGTTGCAGACACTCGAAGCACGTCTGTTTTTCCATATTTTGAAGCTTCAGCCGTTCAATTTCCCTCCATTTTGGCCTTGACTATGCACACACAATGGATGTTGAGCAGAGAGAGAGAGAAAGAGAGTCTAGTCGGAATTTTATAATGTGTACAAGTCAACTAGACCCTAACCAGTGTAGACAAGGATTTGCTGAACGGTCGATATTGCATTGTACTGGTGCATCTTGTTCATATCATAGCCAATCGCCGTTTATAAGGCAGTTTATAGCTGTGGAAGAGATTCCAATCTGACGTGCTAAAAGCGCACACACTTCCGATTAGTGCCTTTCCCTGTGACAGGGTCAACCACACTTGGATTCTTGTACTTCTCTGGACTTACCCTCTCTGTTAGGTAAGACCGTTACAGCAAAGCTCTCTCTCTTGTAGAATTAAGCAGAGCAACCATTTGAAATTACGACTTCAAGAAGCCATCTTCGTTATGATTTATGAAGTAGAAAAACCGAAACACTTCACTTAAAACAGAAACGGAATAAAGCATACAAAAAGCTTCTTGTATCTCATCTTTGATCCTCTAGCTAGCTGTAAATTAAGTTCAATTGACAACTAGATCTGCAGCTCTTTCTGATCTCGACTCGGTAGTAACAACTTCCATATAACCCATGTGCACCATTGCCGCTGCAAACTTGAAGGTCCAGGCTGAAGGATGCTCGGCGTTGTTCCTTTTCTTCACCAGCATTGCCGTCGTCGAGTGACTGACTGCTCAACAGAGGTTGGTCGGATGTTAATAGCCCAAGCTAGTTCTTTAAATTCTTGTAGTATTTATTACTATCTGATGATGCGCAATCCGGTCGGTCCTAGCTGCCGGTTACCTCGCCTCTGACGGAGCTGAGGGTGCCTGAAATAAGGAAGAAACTGGAGACTTCCGGGGAGGAACCCGGTTGGAACACTCCGAAGCTCAAGTTAGTGCTCTAGAGAAGGCAAGGGAAATGAGAGACTTCAAGACCAGAAAGCACAAAAATCACATACCTCCTTCTTTGGGGGAAGGGGGCCTTTTATAATCACCCTAGTACACTCACTCCCATACCTCTGCCAAATCGAGCATCATCACCTCCGCCAGATCGGGTGTCATTATCTCTGCCAGACGCCAGTTCGGGTGTCATAACCTCTGTCAGTTGCCAGTTCGGGTGTCATAACCTCTGCAAGTTGCCAGTTCGGGTGTCATAACCGCCACTGTCTTCCTCGTCAAGGTCGTCTCTGCCACGTCTGAGATGGCGGTGGCAGGTGGCCGTTGGAGGGCGGTTGTCATGTGTCGGACCCCTAATCAGCCAGGCGCGTCGCTTCCGTGTACAGGCTTCCTGGGCGTCAGGTACGGTTGTTCAGTCAGGCGACTTGGAGCTGAAGTGGTGTGCGATGTGAAGTCTTGAGTTCGGATAGAAGTATGGCCCGAACTGCCTCAGGGTGGGTTAGCTTGGGTTTTTGCCCTTTGCGCTCCTTGTAAGGCTCAAGACATCCAAGGGAGAGCTCGGGTTCTTCCTTGGGGAGCTCGGGTTGTGGGCCCGCTGTCGTGCCGAACTGGCGCTTCTGTCAGGTCACTCTCGGCTGCTTCCACGTGTCGCGTGGCCAAGGGGTCGGGCCAAATCTCCCTCCATCAATTGCCCCCCACTCCCCGTGCCCGAGGTCCTGACCTGGCGTGGGGAGTTCACGAGATGACGGGCGGATTTGCCTTGTGACGCTTTGGCCTTGGTTTGGAGCTTCTCCAGTCTGACTTGCTTTGTGTTTTTGGCCCGATCAGAGTCGGCTTGGTTCGACCAGGGGTCAATCCCGGGTTGCGCGCAGCTCACGCGCGGACGCCAAACGATTTTAAATTTTTGAACGTCGAAAATGCGCGCTAAACTGACTTCTCCTCGGGGAGGCGCACAGCCGGTTTTGCGAGGAGCCATTGGATGGTTTTGATCTTGGTCGTTGATGCACAAGTACAGTGGCTATAAATAGTGGGGGGCCCCTGGTCACTTTCCTTCGCCATTCTTCAGCATTCGTTCCTGGAGCTCGCATCATTCTTCGTAGTCTAGTAGCTTTTCCCCGGTGAGTCCTCAGCCTTCTTTTTGATTCAATGTCTAGCTCGGGTAGTTTAGATGGTCTTCTGGGGGGGTCAGATGCTGGTTCTACAAACCGAGTTGTTGCCCCTGACAGCCTTAGTGAGTCCGAGGCGGGGCCCGAAGTAGAGCTCGAGTTTGAGCCCGTAGGCCGAGTCACCTCGGGTAGCTTGGCATCCACCTCCCGTCGAGGTCGGGTGCCAGATAAGTTCGGGTCTTCAACTATGACGCCTGAGAGACTTTGGTCCCTTATCGCTCAGTATAACCTGCCCGGGGAGTATACTTACATTTTACCCTCGGGCGACTTCCCTTGGGAGCACGGTTCGGACGAGATCGTGATATTCCGGGAGCAGCTTGTTGCCGGGTTGCGCCTTCCTTTCCACCCTCTTATCGTCGAGGTCATGAATCACTTCAGCGTTACTGTCGGTCAGCTCCACCCGAACTCCATTCGTAACCTTGTTGGGACCATCTCCCTTTGTTGCGAACACTGCCTTCCATTGGACCTGGAAATCTTTTCCGCCATTCTTATGCTCAAGAAGCAAGCGGGTCCCCTACCCGGGTGTAGGCGGGTCTACTACCTGTCTCCTCGTCTGAGGTTCAAGCTTTTGCACGATCTTCCGAATAAGGTCCCGGCATGGAAGCGGGACTACTTCGTGGTTCGAAGTGCTATGGGATGGCCGTTTCCTACCGAGTGAGGATTGGCCGTTCCTGATCCTGGTGCCACGTTAGATGAAGAAACGGTGAAGGGCCTCCAGGACTAGGCCCGACTTGGACTCAAATGCAAAGTCTACCTGACGAAGGCCAAGCTTATTCAGGCCGGTCTAAGTTTGGGTAGGTTTCTTGCTCAGAGGCTTGCTTTTGCTTTGTTTTTATTCTCGTCTTTTGACGCCGAGCTCTTTTTGCAGGTGTTATGGAGGTAGAGAAGACTCGAGGTGCGAATTTGTTCGATGGTATGAAAAGGAGGAAGCGAGTTGCTAAGCGGGTCCGTGCCGATCCTTCCCGGAGTGCGGAGCCCGAGGCACCGAGAATGGAGCCTCCTGGGGAGCCCGAGGTGGCCCCTCCAATTTAGGAAGTGGCAAGGGTCCCCTATGCCGATACTGCTTATACCCGAGCTATGCCTTCAGGCTCAGGAAGTCAGGATGAGGTTGGGAGCGTGCTGACACCGAGATACGCTCTCCGAAAAAGTAAGAAGGCTACTTGCCCTGAGGAGGTCACGGCGTGGGCCGATCTTCCTATGAATCTCATAAGCGCGCGTGCTGCATCTCACGCCATGGTGGTAAGTCGAAGTAGTTTTTTTTTTCTTCGTCGGGCTGATTTGTTCCCGTTTTGGCAGGTGAACTCCTTTATCCACGCTTTGGCAATCCAGGCGGAGAGGGGCTTGAAGCGAGCGCAAGCTGCCGAAGAGGCTTCCCGCACTGCGCGAGTTGAGTTAACGAGGTCTCGGAGGGACAACGAGGCCTTAGAATTGCTGGTGAAACACATGGCGGACCTGAAGCTGGACCTGGAACATCAGGTCGGGTATCTTCAGGATGATATCAGGGAGAAGACTGAGATCTTCTCTCATGCCATCGAGGAGGCGAAGGTGAAGGCCATTGACGATTACATCGCTTCATCGCGCTTTGATGACATGATGGTGGGCTCGTACAGAAGGGGTTTCAAGTTGAGCCGATGAATGATAAGGAATACGTACCTCGAGCTCGACATTAGTGCCATAACTACTTCGCGCATCACTCAGGAAATGACTGCCGCAACTGATGACAACGCGGATTCCGAAGACGAAGCAGGACCTTCGAGTATTGTCGGAGTCCCTTTCGAAGGCGAGGAAGATGTTCCTCTGGGCCTGTGAGCTTGTTGTTGTTGTTTTTTTTTTGGAATGAAATGTAGACAAAGTATTTTGCAATGAAATGTCCCCTTTTTTGGTTAAGTGTTGGGCAGTCACTTTCTCTTTTCGCCGAGCTGACTATGTTACCGAACTACTAGACTTAGGCCCCAAGGCGAGTTAACATAGTAAGGCTATACGCCCGATCTGTTCTCCGCCCGGGTTAGTTAACATAGGCTTAGAATTGGGCCCTGGGCTATGCACCTCGGGATCCATACTCGTGCAGCTTGCTTCGTTGGTGAGGTGCCGAGGTCCTCTTTAGCTCGACATTCTGGCTCTTACGGTGCCGAGGTCCTTGTTAGCTCGGCATTCTGGCTCTTATGGTGTCGAGGTCCTTGTTAGCTCGGCATTCTGGCCCTTAGGGTGCCGAGGTCCTTGTTAGCTTGGCATTCTGGCCCTTAGGGTGCCGAGGTCCTTGTTAGATCGGCATTTTGGCCCTTAGGCTCAGGTAGTGGCTCATGGCCTGCTTAGTTTGATAATTTACATGTAATATCGTCTTAAGTTGACGATGTTCCATGCCCGGGGTATCTGTTTACCCTCCAGGGTCTCGAGCTCGTATGCTCCCCCAAGTGCTCTCTTTACTCGGTAAGGTCCTTCCCAGTTCAGCCCGAGTTTGCCAACGCTGGGCTCAGGTACCATGATCTTGCAGAGAACCAGGTTGCCGATGCGAAAGTTTCGTTTCTTAACTCTGGCGTTGTAGTACCGAGCTACCCTTTGCTGGTACGCTGCGGTCCTGATGTATGCGAGGTCCCTCACCTCGTCAAGTAGGTCGAGGTTGGTACGTAGCTCATCGTTATTAGTATTGTCGTTGTACGCTTCCAACCGAAGTGAGGGGATTTTGATTTCAGATGGGATGACTGTCTCTGTGCCATAAGTGAGGTTGAAGGAGTTTCTCCGGTGGCGGTCTTCTCTGTAGTTCGGTATGTCCATAGGATGCTGGGCAGCTCGTTTGCCCATAACCCTTTAGCTCGGTCTAGCCTGGCTTTTAGTCCGCGGAGGATAGCTCTGTTTGTGACTTCTACCTGACCATTTGCTTGTGGGTGTGCAACCGACATGAAGTTTTTCCGGATCCCCATGTCTTGGCACCACTCTTGGAATTTGATGTCATCGAACTGCTTGCCATTGTCGGAGATCAGCACCCAAGGTAGCC